ATGTTTTTGATAAACTACCATTTAGATTAATTGACTTGGTTTCATTTATAATGTACTATCAGGATTCGATCAGATAATTGGAAGTAATTACAATAAGTTATTCTATAAAGTAGTCTTAAGTAAACTCAGTCGCAATATGTGAAATCATATATCTGCAATTTTTCATATATTTTCGATTTTTTTTCATACATAGCAAAATAAGGAAAAACAGCATTCTCGTTATATATGGCGAGCATTGTAATAATATTCAATTCTTCTACTTTTTTATCTTAAATCTAGCTGAATACTTTAAAAGAATGTCCAAAATCTGATAGCATTTTTCTTGATATATTATCACTGAGTATATTTATTTTATCTTTTAATCAATATCAAATATACTTGGTGCTGTGTTTTCGAAAAGATAATACACTATATATATTGTTGGAAATTCTATAAATGCTAATTTAAACAAGACACTTTTGTCATTTATCAGTGTGTATTAAATATATTTTTTGTTACAAGCTGAAAATACCATTTTAAATGAGAAATACTTTACTTAGCGTTAGTTAACTAAATCCAATTTAAGTATCGACATATAGATTTTAGCCGTGGCAGATTCAAATTGTTAATTTGCCCCAAATTTACACACATATTACGTATTATTCGCGAGTCACCAATTAAACATGTTAACATTGATTTTTACATGATCACGTGGGGTGAAAGTTTTGTGGAGATATTTTTACTGGAGTAATCTCGTGGTTACGGAATTTGCTTTAGCATAATAATTCAAATTTCTTGAATTCAAAAATAGTTATTTTAGTTTTTATTTTAAATTTTAAACACAATATAAACCGGGTTTTAGAGAAAAAAAGTGAATTTGCGCACAAACAAAAATGTGAATGTTGTTTTTTTAAAAAAATATTAAGCACAAACAAAATAACAAACTAATATATATATATATATATATATATATATATATTTTTATAAGAAGATTGGGGGAAAATCGAAAGTTTCTTTAAAAAAGATAAAAACATCATACATGTATGTATAGGAACAAAAAAAAAAAACAGTAGTAAATTTTCTACCCATAAAGTTTTTGCGATGGCATCGTCGTAATAAAAATAAATAGTTGAAATTTAACGAAAAAACTTAAGTGTGTTGTGTTGTGTTGTGTAATTATTGTCTATTTACATATGTACAGTATTTAAGATGTCGGCCAGATATTTTTGGTGCATATTGTTATTTACGATAGAAATTGTTGTTGTTGTTGTTGTTGTTATTACAGTCGACTAGTTTAGAAAAGACCCAAAAAAGTTTTGCAAAAAAGAAATCGAAAGAAAGATAGCTAAACAGAAAAAGATATTTACGAAAATAAACAACAAAAGTGCTGATAGATAAAAAGTTGATAGATAAAAAGTTGATAGATAGGAAAGAAAGAAAGAAAGAAAAAAGAAAATTATCCGAAATAAAAAGACATTTTGATATTTTCATTCGATGTGAAAATATGAAATAGAAACACACGATAATAATAGAAAGAAAGAAAAGAAAAGAAAACAAGAGGATATACAATACACCCCTTTTTTTGTTATATATAAAGTAATATGTAAATGTATAAGAGTATTGTATTTGTATGCGCACACACATTTTCTCTTTTTTTTTGATTTTTTGATAGTATATTAAACGTGTCGTCGGGTATCCCATGGATCGGAGCTACTGTTATCGACTGGTGTTGAGATAGCGGTAAACGTTGTAGCAGAAATCTTCTTATCCTTCGAATTCGATAAATTTGGTGATACCGACATTTTTGAAGTAGCCATTGTCGTCGATGTATTATTTCTCGGCGGTGAATGATTTGGAGAAGGGAGAATGAACAACTTGGTCAATCTGTTTGCTTTTGGTAGATCATTATCGTTGTCGCTGTCATCGTCATTATTAATACTACCAGTGGTCGATGATGGTAGATTATTGGTCGGTGAAGCGGGAGGAGTCATGAAATTATGAGCCGATAAGTAATCTTTGTGTTGACAATCATCGCTGCAATAAAGACTTCCCTATTTATTAAAAATTTATTATTAGAAATTATAAAATTAGTGTTAAAACCGATAATCAAGTAATAATCAATACATGTAATTAATAATTACCAAAGTTTTTTGCTCACAAATTAGACACCAATCGAGATCCATTTAAGATGAATTACGAAATTTAAATTAATAGTCAAAGAAAACAAAAAGAGCATACAATACAGAATAGAACTATAATATATATACGTGTCTAGTTAAAAAGAAGGAATAAAGGAAAACACCCAAATACGTAAAACAATGAATTATTTTGTTGGGTATATTGTTTATTTATTTATCTATCTAAATATGTTGACGGACTCACGCGATACGACAGGACCGAATGTGTGAAAAAGAGGTATTCAATCAACCAAATTCAATCAATCCAATCAATCATTCAACTAATTAATCAATTAATAATTTTGTAAATTGAATTGTGATTAATCAATGAGACGACTTATTTATTAATTATGGTCTTTGATTTTTATGTTCTGTGAATAGATGATATCATGACATAATCATCGATTTTCGGGTCGTTTCTTTTGTTGTCGTCAAGGATCAAGGAGGATGACGAGAAAGAGAGAGAGAGAGAGGAAAGAAATGAATACCTCTTTCTTTTTTACTTTTAGGCGCAAGGACACACACAAAAAGAGAAATAAATAAGAGTGTGCAAGTAGAGGGAGAGATGCCAACCCGGATTAACCCTCTATATTTATAGACATTCTGTGTGTGTGAATCAGCGATTTAATCTGGAGATATTAATATTGAGGTGAAATAAACATAATGACGGGAAGACACATCATTGTTTGTATTACGCAACGCATTTATACACGTACGTTTGATTTTTTTATATGTCGATATCTTTATTTCATTCATAGGCTACTTTATCGATAATAATCAATAAAGGCTGTATGTTTTTTTTAATAAAGATCAATATTGATAAAGGTCAGCTGAGCAAAATCATTAGCAATTAATAACAACTAGCTAGAATATGCAAAGCACCTCCAGGATAGCGATGATAACACATTATAACACATTATACACGCAGACATTGACCAGGTGATCTAATTACGAGATGCGTTCGCTGTTGTTGTGAAACTATCAAATGAATTAATAACTAACAAGTAAGTATAACAATGAGAAAAATCAAGAAGGATCACCGAAATTTTTCGATGGTTATCTACCTCGTGATCCTCATTACTATAGAAATAGTGTAAATTATTATTATAAATTCTAATACAATTTACACCGTTTCTATTGCACTCAGCCCATATGTATATATCGCATTGTGCGATGTTTGCTTTGGATTACAAAAAATGAATGCTCTCTTTTTGGAGTTACATTTTTAGTTAATTGCTATCTGACACTATGGTTTTTCTTTGGTTTTCTTATTCGTTCTCGGCTTTTGTTACCACGTTTTTGGTGCATTTATACTAAATAAGCCAATCTAATGTTTTATTCCAAGTGAGGAAATTGTCAGTTTGGCATATGTTTGATCTGATTCTTTAGTGGCAAAGAACCTTCTTTTGGTCTTATAGATCGAAAGACCGTGTTAGTCTTAATTCATTACTTGTTGCTACGTGCATATCAACTACAATGTATATATATCACTTGTATATGGTAAAGTTTAATTTATGGAATGGTTCGAAAACACTGAATCATTGGTCTTTCTTTCTTTCTTTGCGAAAATTAAGAGGATCATGAGATAGTAATATATTTTATGAAAATGGTTTGATAAGCGCATGAATGTTGATTAAATTTTAGATCAGAAAAAAAACATACAGTACAACAGATCAGAAAAGTAATCGGATTAAGAGGAAAAAAAACGGATCAAAGTTTTTTTTTGATGATTCAAGCACCGTCTAATTTTTTCATGGGTAAAAAATCGTGGTTTTTTCTCACGCATATACGCTGTATACCTATTGCTGTTGTGCATCATACAAAGAAAGAATTAAAGTTTTGGAATAGTCCTAACAATAAATTGTTTAGTTCCTATGATCGAATTTTCCTTCTTAGTTAGCTCACCAAAAAATCTGTGACAGCTGACCCAGAATAATGCAAAACATACTAATTGATACTAGGAGATTGGGCGAATAGTTACAGAATAGGTTAACTTTACCGAAATACTTTAGGATCTTCTTATGAGGAGGAAAAAAAAATAGATAGTGCACATTATCCGACTGCAGATTAATAGGGTAAACAGGTGATACAATACAAACAAGCAGGAAAAATTTTTGATATCGCAATTGGGCTGATTAGATTAGGAGTAGGGATCGATTCTGAGAATCGATCAATTTTGTAGAATCGAGGAAGAATCGATTAATAACGATTGGAAAATCATGATTTTACTTGTGAAAAACATGGCAAATGTTACAACGCACGACAAACTACTCTGTCATTCAACAAAAATGTTAATATGATAATAACCAAGAAACTACTGCCAATAACTCTGATAGTGATACTAATGCCAAAAGTAATTGATATTGATCCAAACTTGAATGATATTTATGAAACAACAGAAAATACATGAAATGAAACAGATACAGAATCACAATACTCTATACTATCTTTACCACGTAGTATCTCTACGAATTCAACTAATCAAAGTACAACTTCAACTATTCCAACGAAAAGGAAAAAAATCAACATGTAATAAAAAACAAAATCAAAGACCAGTTATGTCGTTGCCGTCGTCGTCGTCGTTATCATCGTCGTAATTTGGGCTCGAGAATCGATTTTGGTTCCTCAAATTAAAATCGATTAATCGAATAATCGTAATAACTACAGTGAGCATTCGTTACAGTAACATTCTTTAAGATAACATCTCGTTATAATAATCTCTTCCCCCGATCACGTTATTGTATCCAGCGCTCTCTGTAATCGATTTTGAAATCAATTCTTGGTTGAGAATCGACTCCTATCCCTAGATCAGATTCTAAATTTCGAAATAAAACAGATCAAAATGCTTTGTATCCGGCCTGATTTACTATATATATATCGATATCGTGCAAGTCTTATTGAGATCTACACCTTATCGCCGAACTCTTAATAGGGTACACATATATATATATATGTGCTGATTTGCAGAATTTCCGCATAAGAACACATGCCAATTCTCCGAAATTTATACTTTTTGCTGATTAACTAATCAAATATTTTTCCAGAATATATTTAGACCATTTCCGGTTTGCCAAGAACGACGTGTATATTATTTAATCAGTCTAAACTCTATTTATTGTATTGAATGTGCCATGAATACAATATTTTGTGAATTCATTAAAAATCTGGCTTCTATTTGGTTGAATTTTTGACTTATTAATCAAATTAGCCTGGATTTTCACTTGAGTGTTATCTTTTATACATGTAATCTTTTATAATTCAAAATAATGCTGACCTTGGCTTATATTGGCACCTGAATTTATCCAAAATTTAGAGTCAATCGAATATTTGTCTGAAATTCACGTTAGATTTTATCGACCTTATACAATTAAATTAAAATTTTCTCTAAATTCAAATTATTTTGCTACTTTAATTAACTTCGACAAATATTCTATTAAATGCACTTATTACCTGATTTTAACCATAATTTATCGGCTTAATCGGAAATTCAGTGTCCGTATACTTTGCATTTTATTCACAATTAATGAATTATGTCGATTCCGTCGATAGTGATAGTTATTACCAAGCTCTATATACTTTTAAGTACATATGCTACAGTGACACTCTATGTATTGTGTATCAAACAAATAAATTTTCCAAAATCGAACAGAATTGATTATAGTTAATTTAGACATTAATTCACTATATCGAGATTCGATTAGTCTCCAATATAAAGAAAGAAGGACCATTATAAAGAGCGTGACCGTTTCAAATTCCGGATTACATAAACTCTCTTCAATAAAAATAAACTGAAATCATAAATATATGTTCATTTACAATTACCACATATTCATATATTTAACATATTAATAGATGAAATTGTATGAGAGTATGAAGCCGTAATTTTAAATTTAATAGAATTAAAGTTTCCAAATATTCGTCATGCTCCAATAAAAACTATTTGCGCTTTTGACGCTAGTAATGAAAGTACTTCAAAAAATTTAAATAATTCATATATTCTATATAAAAACTGATTGATATTGAGGAAGATAAAATAAAAGTAAGAAGAAAAATATTTATGAATTTTAATTCTAACCGTGTTCTTTTATTTCTAAAAACAGAAAAAAACAAAACTAATTGCTACTCCTGGACATCCGGATCGGGTTACAGAAGAAAAGGTTTTCGTACAAACAGAACGGGTCTTGCGAAATGCGTTGATTGAGCTCGTGGAATTTGCAAAAAATAAAATAGAATTCAATATTATTAATTTCAATTTAGATTTACAAAGAAGCTCCTGTTATAACGACACCTTGACATAACGACATCATAATAAAATGACATGATTCTCAATACCCGATTATTAGTAGGCATATAAAATCACACTCGATATAACGTATAACGACAATTTACTAATAGTACCGAGAGGGTGTTATAACGAGAGTCACTTTGCGATGCCTTAGTTTCCATATACAAGATCTGGTTCTCGGAGACATTAATTTTGATCCAATTCTATTTACGGATGCCCTTTAGGATCGGTATCCTTTTCGTATCGATAAAGAAAAAATAGCAAAAAAATTAACGGGCGATAATTTTTACCAAAAAAAAATGGACCTCAGCAATAATATCGCAGCTTCGACCCGTTTATTTTGGAGCCTATTTTCAGACTCACTCGGTTTACTCTAGAATACTATTAGAAAAATTATCAATGAATTTGAATAGCGATGAGAAAAATTACAAGGAAAAACTCTTTTGAACGGTGTGATTGACAAATTCTTGACTCCCGCAGATATCATTTATCTTCGATGAATGCTCAATTGCAATGCATGTTTGTAAAT